GTGCCAAAAGCATACCAGGCTCATTCCTGCACTTGGGGATGGCCTTTTGCTTACAGCACCACCAGGCTAGAAAAAGCTGTGTTATCTCACCGGGAAGAGAGGATTCACAATTACTCATCAGGCAACAGCCCTGGCAGACCTTCTGATCCAAAGCCTTGGGAGCACAGCTACGGGATACTTCCCAGTTATTTTGGATACTTCATTTATTCTTCTGCATCGATGATGATGACACATTGTCACAGGTCCACTGTCCACTCAAGGCACTCCCAACAGACTGAGCAGTCGTTATTGACATCTGAGTTCCAGGGACTCGTGAGCAGACATGAGGGAAGGAGGTGAAACACTTCCCATTAGAGCTGTAGCAGGTGGCCTGAATATGAGCTGTGTCTCTGTTGGCTGTACAGGTGGTGGAGGTTTGGCATCCTGAAGCCACAGATGCTCTGACTGCACTCATCTGGGGTTATGGCAGCTAGGAAGGTGGGATAGACAGGTAAGTTCACCCTAACCATCTGAACACCATTCTGGAGGATCCAAGTTGGCCTCCAAATGCTTTCTTTACGAAAATCTGTGCTACTTGTTTCCCAGCATTCATTTCTGCCTTTGGTGGGACCGACCTGAGACAGCAGGTGCAGGAAGTGTCAGATTGAATGCTCAGGCTGAGGTCAGAGGCAAACACTTATCTGAAGCAGCCAGAAGCAAGGGCTTCACCTGCAGAGCTGCTGTTCTCTCTCCCCATCTGTACTTGCAGTTGCAGATGTTGCAGAGCGACTTTATACTGTTATTTCGGCATCTTTGATCCCATTTATCTGAGTTCGGTAACACTTGATGGAATGGCCCTGACCTCAGATGGGTTCAAGCCAACTTGTTTTGCTCTTATCTGCCCAAGACTAAGGAAGCATAGTCTAATATATGTGTTACCCCGTCGTTTTTTTCTGTGCGTGAAGAGGGAGAGGAACAAAAGTGGATTCAGATTCAAACATGAAGACCAAGTTGGTCAAAGTTCAATGTAACCTCTGAAAAGGGGTGCCAAACTTTGGAAATTCAAATCTGGATGCGTTCCAACTTCAGTTGGAACAGGAGGAGAGGAATAGGTTTAACACAATTAGTTTGGTTCCATCATCTTTCCCCTACTCACTCGTGAGGTTTGTTTTTTTTTTCTGGAGACAGATCAGTGTGAACATGCATGGCAGAATGTAAACAGCTGGATATTCATATTTACCCACCTTATACCCCAGCACAGCCCCAGGAAAGGAAATGTTTTCATGCCCCATTTCCAGTATTGGTTCTAAGCTCTCTTTCCTGAGGACAGCTCTTAGAGGAGCCGGGAAATGAGTGTCCTGATTTATTCCCCTGAGTCCCTCATACCTTAAAAAAAGCACCAAATTACATTTGAAGGTAGTTTAGCAGGCAGTAATGACAATTTGTTTGAACTTCTCACTGGTTCACTTTTCTGTATCACAGAAGATTTCGGGGAACAACTCGAACTCTCTCAAAGTAACCTCAAGAGGTTTCCTCAGTTCACAGTGAAAGCTTTAAGCCAAGCCTACACACTTCAAACTCCAGGCGCGCTGAACTAGCGCCGCTAAGCTGCGGGTCTGCGGTAGGGTGGTGTCACACACCGCCGGCGTGAGGAAACTCGGAAGGTCCCTTTGCCACATGGAAGAGTCAGTGCTTTGCCCGCTGAAATCCCTCATCCAGACGTCCTGCCAGGCGAAGGCGCCAGCTGGTTTCCCTCAGAGACCCGCGAGCCGAGGTGTAAGGGCAGGAGCGGGGCTGGAGCAGCAGGCTGGGCAGGGTCTGGCACGAGGGCTGAGGGCGTCTGGAATAGGGAAGGCAGGAAAGTCGGGCTGCGGGGACCCGGGAGCGATGGGGAGCACCTCGCACCCGTCTCGGGAAAAACACAAGCGGGGAAACGTGGTCACGAGTGGCGGTGCGCGTGTGAGCCCGCGGCAGTCCTCCAGCCACTGCCAAGCAAGGATGAGGAGGCACACGGTGACATAGAGCCTCTGGAGCGGGAGGGAGGCGCGAACTGCTCGGAGAGGGGTGGGGAGAGCCGGGGAGGGCGGGCGAGGCGCAGCCGGCTCTGAGTCAGGCGGGCCGCACGATGCGCGCCGGGGGCAGTGCCCGGCACGGCGCCGCCGGGAGCCCGGGTCCCTTCCCGTCCCTTCCCATCCCTTCCCGTCCCTTGGCCGCCGCCCCCGCGTCCCGAGTGCCCGCGCCGGCCGGACCCGCTCCCGCTGCCGGGACCGCTCCGCCCTCTGCCCCTTCTCCTCCTCCTCCTGCTGCTGCTGCTGCTGCTGCTGCTGCTCCTCCCGCGCGGGGCAGGGGCAGCCCCGAGGGCGCCCGGCGGCCCGGGGGGGGGGCCGCACCGCCGGCCGGGACCGGCTGCACCATGTGAAGCGGCGGCAGGGCTGCCCCCCCGGGCCGGGCCGCCCTCTCCCGCACCATGAGGGACGGGGATGCGGGGCAGCAGCCACGCCGCGCACAGGTAGAGCCGGGGCGGCTCCTCCGCCTCCTGTCCTGCGTGGTCCTTGTGTGCGGAGCGGAGGTCGCGGCTCTCGCCGACTTCTCAGGTACGGGGCGGGCGCCGAGCGACGGGCTCCCGGGTGCGGGGTGCTGCGGAGCTCCGAAGGGCCGGGCGGAGGCGGGCACGCCGCGGGCAGGGGCTGGCGGGGGCTGTCAGTCCCCCGCAATGCCCCGAGGGGACCCCCGGAGCCGGGGCAGGGTCCGCGGGCTCCCGGCCGGAGCGCCGCACGGAGCCGCGGATTCCCCGGAGCGCTCCGCGTTCCGTGACCCCGCTGCGGGGCCGCGTCCCGGGCCTGCGCCCCGCTGAGCGCGGGTCCCGTGTGCCGGGAAGGAGGCACCAAGGAGGAGAGGGGTCAGGGCTTCCAGAGGGGCCGCGGGCGAAGGGACGCAGGGAGCCGAGCTGTCCCTGCGCGGTGAGAACGCTGTGCGTGGATCGGCCAGGGCCTGGCCAAAAGTGCGTGGAAGTCCCTGGAAAGGTTCCCACTTTCTCCTGGAGACTTGGAGTCGGGCCCTGAGGGAGCGAACAAGTGCTGCACTTCTCTCAGCTAGGAGGCAAGGCTCGTCGCACCGCGACGAGGGAGTCCCTGCCCAGGGCGCAGAGGCGCCAGCTGTCGCCCAGGAATCACAGCCGTGATCCCTGGGTGGGTGTTACATCACTGCGAAGTGAAGTGACTGCAGGAACCGGGGAAATATCCTTGTTCCCGTCAAGATGAGGAAGCAATCTCTATTCTTTGTTTGTGAAAACTGCACTCTTGTACCTTTTCTAGTGCCCCAGGACATCCCGCTGCTGTTAGAAAGTTATTTAGAAGAGCTGTTCCTCTCTTTTCTATGTGTCACAGTGAGCACAGCATAACATTCCTGGCACTTGGAAGCTCAAAGAACTGCCTCTAGGGCAGAAAGCAAACCTTTCCCGTATTGAGCAGAGCAGAACTTCCCAAAAGCCAGTCGAGTGCACTGGAACAAAGTTAATATATAATTAATAGCCCAAATGCGTTGTTATGCATTTTAATATAGTTTGTGTCGATACAGTTCAAAATGCTGGCCGTGGTTCTGTAGAAACTACTTCCTCAGCAACAGAAAAATACAGTTTGTAATTTTAAAAACTGTGTCCGGCTCCACAAGCCTGAAAATTTCTAAGCAAGCTGCCACGAAATATAAAGACCAGAATTACATACTTGGATAAGCTACATTTCTCATATTAAATTCCTCTCACATGTAAAAGGCTTTTAAATGCTTGCTGTCCCATTCTTTGGTTTTTTGTTGTTTTGTTTCTTGGGGTTTTTTTTTTTGTTTTTTTTTTTGCTTAACTGCTGGTTTGGGATGTTAGTTTTGGAATCTCATGGTGGTTCTAAACAATAACATAAAACAAATGTTCAGATCTTCTCTTTCAACTAGCTACTGAGTTAAAAATTATCCCTTTATGTAGCAAAGTTCCTCTCATAAAAGTCTGTTCATTTATCAAATGATGTTATTTAGATAAGGTTATCCAAGATTAATTTCAGAACTACAGCTGTCTTCAGTATTCATTGTGCACTGAGCTTTCCAGATAGGTAGAATGACCAGAGAAAAAAGCTATCTCACTCCAGAGACCAGTATTAAACATGACATGCAGATGTTTCAGTAAATAAGAGGTAGAAAATGAAAGCAGATTCCAGAATTCCTACCAGACTGGGAAGTACCCAGGCCTGAACAAATTCTGCTCACATTTCACTTTTAACATGGAGATCTAATCCAGAATGACAGAAAAGACCAAAACGTTAGTGTAACCTTTTTTAAAAAAAAAAAATGTGTCCAGAGCACAGGGAGAAGTTTTTAGCTGCATCAAAAGCAGGTGCTGTGGACCAGGAGTTGGTCACCAGGAGAGGACACCCTGCAGTGCCATCCCCAGGCTGTTTAATACTGTTAAAGAATTACAAGCTTCCTAACAGCGGCTTCGAGGTGAGTGCGTGGAGTTGCTGATTTCCCTTCTTTGCTCCCTCTCTCGGCAGGAACAGCAACTCGATTTTCCTAAACACCGCTGAAATACATGGCCACAAACCTGGCCCTTTTCAAGTGCAATGAGGCCTCGACCCCAACAGCCCAAACTCTTTTCCTCTCTCCTTCTCTCCCCACTGTCCCGACAGCTTTCCAGAGTCCCTTCCTAGACTGCTGCCAGGTTCCAACACCTGCCCGTGTAACCTCTTAATGGTTGTTCCCTTAATGCAAGGGTTAAATTCTGCCAGCAGTTCCAACCTGCCAGAGCCCATTTGTTCATAACCAGACCTCACTGTTTGCTTGTAAGAGCCCAAAGATGCTCCCTCGTGGGATCTGTTTGATGGTCTGGAAAGGTGAGCAGGGAGCAGAGTACAGGGAAGGGTTGTTATTACTCTTTCTAAGTTTGATTTGTATTTGTGGTATATAGCCTTTCTACTGCCTTGAGATGCAGGTTCTTGCTCTCATCTGTCTAGCTTTTCTAACTATGGGAAAAAAAACCTGGGCCAAGGTGGTTCGGTTTGTTTTTTTAAAGAGAGACATTTCTTCACCGTGCAATAACATTTTGTGGATTGGTATTTTCTAGGGAAGAAAGATGTTCTGAAATAAGACACTAGCAGCAGTTCAAAATTCAACTCTGTGAGAACAACTCAGTAGTTTCTCTTACTGGAACTAATGTTGGACACATAAAGATCTGCATAATCTATCTTTCACTAGCAGTTTGAAGCAACAAACAAGAAATCTAAAGGTTGGACTTGATAGTCTTTTCCAACCTGAATGCTTCTATATATCTATATTTATTAATTCCACTAGTTACTGAAAGTGGAGGTGTGCTCTAAGGTCTGCAGTCCTCTGTGTGATTAATTCTTCAAAGTGGAATTTGTGCCCATATTTAAACTGAAAGCTGAAGGTTTGGAAGAAGAGAGATTTAAACCACAGTTCTTTCCTTAGACCTTCATGAATATGAGAGTGATCCTACAGCTACAGAATTTTCCTCCCCTCATAGCCGTTCTTCAAAACATACCTTTTAACTAAAAGATTTCTTTATTTTCTCGGTGATCACTAGTAGCTTTCACATTTTGGATCAGGCCCCATTCCAGGGGGGATGCTGTTAATTTTGCTGGTTCTCCAGTCTCTGAATAGTCTGGGCTCCAAGGACACTGTCAGAAGAGCAGTTTTTCAGGACATCAGTGCCTCATGACAACCATTTCCCCACAGCTGCTCTGTGCTCAAGGACTGGTTCCCAAACCAGGTGAAACAAGGAGCTGGCAAACCCAGCAAACTTCTTTCCAACATGTCACGTTGTAGGTGGCCTGGTGCTACAGACAGCCCAGCTGCTGAGGGAGAGCTGGGAGAGCGTGGCTGGGGATGGAGGCGTGTTGTGGGTTCCTTGTCCACAGCAGGCAGGGATCGCTGCTCGTTCCCCTGCCTTTTCCCTGGCTGCTGACAAAGTGAACTGACCCCTTACCCATCTGGGAACAAACTCCTTCTCTCTGGCAACTCTGAGGAACACCCATTCACCCCTTTTTTTATGCTCCTTCCTTCCTTTGCTGTTCTCCTTGCTGCTCTGAGCTCGGGCTTAACCTCGCCTCCTTGGCTCACTCACCCCACTCAGTCTCCCTTTCTTTACCTGAGTCCCAGCCAGGTTTTCTGGGCAGCTTTCAAGAAACGTGGCTGTAACTGAAGATCAAAAATGAAGTAATTGTGATTGCACAACCGGGGTGAGGAATGACTTTCTGAATGTGAACAGAAAGCAGCCGCTGCTTTTAATCTCTGTCCACCGGTGTCAACTGTTCTTCCAAAACATTTCAGACAGAACTGAGCATCACTGTAACTCCACGGAATTGGTCTCCTGACCCATCCACAGAAACAAGTGGTTCTAATGAAAAAGCAAACCAGTTCACCCAACAAATATAATCTGCTCCTGTGGTCTTTCTGCACCGAAAGTTTCCATGAAGTTCAGTGGCATTCACCCATCCCAGATTCCCCCAGGTAAAAGGAAAGCAAACAAATGCTTTGAGCAAATGCTTTGTTTGTGGTAACGTGGCAGGATCAATCACTACCAACCACAACGATGCAGAGGTTTTTTTTGTTGGCTTTGTGTCGGTCAGATAAAATCTTTTATAAATTTTCTTGAGTCAGTTCTGTTGACTCACCGTGGCAATTGTAGCGTGTCCTTCAACCAGGATATTTCAAAAAGTGCTAGAAAGAGTGATGCAATGATGCATCTTCTCAATAATGCCTTGTAAAAGCCAAGTGTTCATTGCTTTATTTAAAGAAAAACATTTTGTTTTAGGAATGTTTCATTTCAGTCATATGTGAGTTAAACCTCAAAGTCTGGTTTAAAGTTTCTCTGAGTGAAGCAGGCTTTGGTCTGGGATTTGTTCTGTAGAATAAAGAGGTGTGTGTCAGAACTGAGATTTTAGTTTAGATCATGGTGCTGAGACCCAAGGTTTGGTTTCAGGCTTGTTGCTGCAGTTCTTTTTGCCTTTCTGAGGAAGTATAACTTACGAAACCACATATCAGATGTGCTAATATTTTTTGTTAAATCCACTGATGTGATTTAGTTATCCTTGTTAGAGAAGTAAAAGCTTTGATCCTGTCAAGTTCTTACACATTTTGTGAGGCCTTTACAGCAACCTAGGTCTTCATCCCCAAGAAGGGGAGGCTGCCCCCAAAACTCTCCTGAAATGAATTAAGGGGCAATGTGATGATGCTCTTGCCCCTACAGATGTTGGGGAATTCAGATAGAAGACACAAAACTTGAGTTCCTGAACTCCACCACTCAGAGGCCAGCATGTTTGAGTCTGTCAGATTCTCTGATAGACTTTGGGGCAGGAAGTTTGGGGCAGAACTCTTTCTCTTCTCCCTGGGCAGATTGCTGGCACCTGACACACCATATGCTATTTTTATTCAAAATACATAGCAGGGGTTAGCTCCCCCCTGCCTTCCTGTTCCATCTGCTGCTGATATCCTTCCCAGAAAGGGAGAGCTTCCAGTCTCAACTTTATTAGAGAAAGGGACTACAGACTTGTTCCAGATAAATACTCAGCTTTTTTTGGAAGTGTCCCCAGAC